TACACCTCATTCCAAAATTTTAAGCTTTCTTCTTTTGAAATTTTAAGTCCTGTAGATTTGAGTAGGGTTTTAAGAGAACAAATTTGGTGCTTCTTCTGGCGATGTAGAATTTCCCATTGTAAAGGGAAGATGTTTTTACAGCAGCCGGACACTAGAGGGCTGAAGTGCCTTGGCAAGTTACAAGCCCCTAGGTTTGAAGAAAAAAAGTTGCAGTTTTAAATCTTTTGTCTTGGAGCCGCTTTTGAGCTGCAGGTGCTCCACAGGGGTTAGCTAATTTGAATTTTCCCTGAACTGGTTTCAGCTGTGGCTTGAATGTCTGAGGCAGGATAACAGAGCTGACTAAAGGAATCTGCCTGACTCTAAAGCTTAGAATGTTAGGGATTTTTCTAGCAGTGTTTAGATAGAAAAGTGGGGTGAAGTGATGGTTCCCAAAGGGACGTGCCTGAAATTAAAATTTCAGGGTATCCCAGTGGTTCCCAGTCACGAGACCTTCCCGCAAATTTGAGGGGCTGGCGACCACCCTAATGGCTTTTAATTGGACGATTCGTTAATCACCAGGTTTGATATTAAAGAGATGTCTAGATAGAGGTCTTTGTCCACACCTGTATAGGCAGTCGGGGTCCCCTAGGGGTTCAGAGAGACCTTCAGTTAACACCAGGGGGTAGCCCTGGCCAGAAAACCTCAGTTGTCTCTCTGGCCCTAGCAGTCCCACGCGAGAACTTCAGACCAGAAAAGAAAAGGAGGAAATTTAGAAGAGATTTTTTGTTGCCCTCCTGAGGAGGAGGGATACTCACGGATCCAGCATTTCCGTGGGCACCAGCTCCTAGCTGGCACGAGGTTCAGAGGCCCCACATTGGGTGCTAGATATGGTGCGTGCGCGCTGGGCACCCTGGCGTGGTGTGCGCGGGCACACCTGGAGAGTCGCGGTGCGGGTCCGCGGGCTTCTCCGTGCCTCTGTGGGTCTCTGCTGCTGGAGCGTTGTCCAGCCATGTACCGCCTTAATTTCCCCTGTGCGCTTTCCTCTTGATGCAAGATCCACTGGCCACTGGATCACGCGGGAGAGCGCAAGGCGGCTGAAGCTGGGATCTGTGAGCCGGTGACGGAGGAATGCTGCCTCCGGAGAGGCTGGACTTTGCTTAGTCCATGTCACAGCTTTTATTAAGTGTAGCTTCAAGTGATCCAGCTCTCTGATATTGAGAGAAGACTGGGATATTTATACCATGGGGGTAGTGGTAAAAGCTTTGGCTGATAGATACTTTGTGAGACATTCTATTTGCATATGGAAGTGGGTTTCTGCCATGCTGCCAGACTGCTGACTACCTGAAAAATCACACAGGAAAGCATGGTATTCCTAGAGCCAGAGGCCATGTTTATGTTATGGCATTTGTGGCAGGCACTTCAAAAGGAGAGTCAGGAAAAATGCCAGGAAGGCACCCCGCTATGAAAGGAGTCTCAGCACATAACTCCGAGCTCGTGAGCTATCCGGATATGAAGAGACTTCTACTTCACATAACAGAGGCCCCCCCAACATACAGGAAGTATAGATCCAGATGCTAGCTCAGGCTGGATATGATGTGATGGTGATTTTCCTGTTTGGAGGCCAGGCAATGGGACCTCAGTCTCCAGCTGCTCTTGGGCCAAGAGGAGGCCTTAGAAGAGGGTGCTGACTCATCGTTAGTAGTGTCTAATGTTCACCTGAAGTATTTGTCAAAATTAAGTGCCAGTCCTTCCTCAGATCCCCAGAATGGACGCTTCACAGAAAGCTAGCTCCAGATCTCCAAACCCTTAGCTACTATAAACAACAAATAACTTCTTTTATTTTTGTAAGGAATGCCATGTGGCACATTGAGCTCCAGAAGGGGCAATTTGAGGATGTCCGGAAGCAAAATGAAGAAGAGGCAGAAACTAGGCAGAGGTGCCTGGAGGTACACACAGCTCAGCAGCTTCATAAGGAGAAGGAAGCCATGGGGAAGGCGGAGAGGAACCGTTTGCTGAGGGCCCGGTGAGTGCCACCCAGACCTGGCCTTGTGATTTTTCCAGTTCCTTTGCCTTCTAGAGCTTTCCAGATCCAGCTCACAGCTCCTCTCTCTGTATCTGCACCACCGGCCCCACCTAGGCTCCTTCCTTGTTACCACTGACCAGAATCACTGAAACCAACAGACCCTTCCCCTTACACATTCACTCTTCCGTTCCCAGCTAAGTTATTCTCTGCCTCCAACCTGTACCTAGATTCTTCTTTGCTTACCTGAGCCTTGGAGTACTCAGACTCAGTTCCTACCCCGAGGCATCCCTTGTCTCTGCTCCACCACCAGCCAGATACATCCCCAGGAGTTTCAGGGCTATTGGACCCTGCTCTATGAACATGAACCAATCCTCCCTTCTCCGGATGCCCCTGGCTTATGCTACACATCTGGATTCCCAATCCCCTTCCTTATGGGTCTCCACCTTACTCCGGCTACCCAGGCCGGAAGCCAGTACCCTCCTAACTTTCCCCACCTCCCACACTACCCAGCTCATTAACAAATTAGTTGCATCCTGGTGACCCAGGCCACTCCTGGACCTCATCCGGCCCGTCTTCCTCTTCTTTACCCACTTCTTCCTGACCCCTGGCCTTTTCCCTCCCCATATTCAATTTTTGCTGGTCCTTTCCCCTGTCAGACTCCAGCCCAGCCTTGGCAAGACCCTGTTTTTGAAGGCTTCCTCATATCAGAGCTCCCAGTAGCACTTTAACATCTGTGGCACATGTCAAACAAGTGCATCACTGGCACTTGTTCTATCCTCTGCCTGTGTCACTTCAGGAAGTCCTTGCATGTACAGAGGGAGCTGGGCCTGAGACACCAGAAGCTGGTGGAAGATGCCCAGAGAAACCACAAGGTTGCAGTGAAGTTCCTGAAGGCCTCCCTTGGAAGGTGGGTTTTCCCCTTAAATCTTTCTTCTGAAATGTTCTTGAGGAATCCAGAAATGTGAGTTCCTTCCTTTCACTTTGAAAACCCCTGACTTAGTCATGAGAAACAAATAGATCTGGAGTTTTAATTCTAACCTGCTGTTTTTGTTTGCGAGAAGAACATGAGACCCAATGGGGCTCTAGGGTCCAGAGACCATCTCCAGCCTCGTTTTGTGTAGGAACAGCCCCTGGTGCTTAGGGCCTGTTTATTTTACATTTATGTTGTCAGCTTTCATTATTTCCTTGATGGAAATGACCAACACCCAAGGCCCCCATAGCTATGTAAGTGTCTGCATTACCTGTATACATCCCTACTAAAAATGCACATTACTCCAGAATTCGGGAGCAAGAGCAGAAGGAGGCGATGGAATCCCATGAGCACATGAAGCGGCGGATGGAAGCTGTGCTGGCACTGAAGAACAGCATCACGGCCAGTCGGGTAGGTGTGACACCACCTCTGGGCCACCTTGGCAAACCAGCCTTTCTGGCACATCCAGCCAACTGGCCACCCCATGGACCCTGCTCTTGGGAGCCAGAATCCTATCCTCAGGCTCCTGCCAAGAACCAATCAGCTGCTCAGCTGCTCCCTGCAGATTCACCATAACTCTACCAAAGGCTTTCTGCCTGGACTCTAATCAGAAAGAAAACAGCCTAACCTTGTTCTGAGAGTGGAAGAGCAGTGACAGGGCCCAGAGCAGTGTGAGGACCAGTCCTAGGCTAGGGTCTGGGTTAGGCAGGAAGGCAGTATGGGGAAGAGTGGGGCACAACATTATGAAGACTCAAGCAGGTGAGCCAACAGGAGGAGCCAACATGAACATAGCTTCATAGACTCCCATACCCCAGGGCCCCAAGGCTGTGTTGGGTGAGAGACACATTGGGAATTATGGATGTTTGCAAACTATCTACCCTATGGGATCCACAAGTGTCAGCATTGATTGAAGGATGGTCATTCAAAGGAAAGGTCTGCATTTGAGTATGTGCAAACGTGTGTGTGTGTGTATGTATGTATGTGTGTGTGTGTGTGTGTGTGTGTGAGAGAGAGAGAGAGAGAGAGAGAGAGAGAGAGAGAGAGAGAATATGCTGGTGCTATGACTTCAGAGTTTCCTATTTCCAGGAAACACTGAAGAAGTTTCAAGCCTGGGGCCAAGCTAGGGCAGAGATCACTGAACAGAAGGCCCTTGCAGAGAAAGAACTAATCCTGGCCCAAGGTGGGGATGCATTCAAGCACTTTGTCCATCAACGCAGACGCCAGGAGCTGGAGGCCCAGAGACGGTGAGGGCTAGGAGGATTTGGAGGGCTGGGAGGCACCTGTTTTGGAAGTGGGCACAGGGAGGGAAACAGAAGATTTAACCCTCCTTCTTTACAATGAGCAAAGCTGATCTCTGCTCAGACTTTGTACCAAAAGCAAATAGGGGAGAGGGAGTTTAAAGAGATGGTCCAGTGGTTAAGAGCACTTGCTGCTCTTGCAGAGGACCTGAGTTCAGCTCCCAGCATTTATATCTCACAATCTCTTGTAATTCCAATTCCAGGGGATCTGACACTCTCTTATGACCTCTGTATATACCTGCACTCATGTGGTGCATATACATACAGTCAGGTCCACACATACACACATTATTTTTTTTTAAAGCTAGTCGCGGTGGCATATATCTTTAATCCCAGCACTCTGGAGGCAAGGGGTAGGCAGATCTCTGTTCAAGACCAGCCTCCTAATCTACATAATGAGTTCAGGGCCAGCCAAGGATATTTAGTAAGACTCTATCTTAAAAAAAAAATAAAGGCAGATGTGGGATATGGGACGAGGACTGCATACTCCCTCCTAACCCCTGTCTACAGAAGTCTCCAGGGTCTCCAGGGAACTCTGGGATTTGGGGGCTTCCTATAGAGGCTCCTGGTAGAGCTGAGACACCTCTTTCTCCGTTCCTTCTCTACTTGTTCTAAGAGGTTTTTGGACCCCTGTGGCCCCCTCTTCCTTGGGGGATACCTGGGGCTTCTTCACATATTACCCCTCAACTTCATTCTCTGGTCTACCCAAGGTCAAAGTCAATGTTTAGTACTACCTCCTTGGTTCCCACCATGGGGGTGACTTTCCTGAAATCCAGAGCTTCTAAGGAGGCCCACCTTATATCTGGCCTTTTCCATTTTGCACACAATGCTCAAATAACCTCCATTTAATCCAGCTTCTTAGTGCCTCTGCCTAAAGCTGCCCTCATCCTGAAGGGCCTAGTCCTCTCTCCCCAGTTCCTGAGCCCTGCTGGTCACTGCACAGGATCTGCCTGTGAATAGCCTGCTGGCCCTCTTACCAGAAGCATCTTCTTCCTCCTCCAAGTGTCTCACAAGCATTGCATGGGCACACACACATACACACACACACAGACACACACACACACACACACACACACACACACACACTCCCACAATCACCACCAGAGTTTTTCTGCTTCCTCGTCAGTCTGCCCATATGTGGTCTGGTGTAGCCCTGATGCCCAAGCAGTGCCCAGCAAGGAGTAGTTGTAGTGAATATATGAGTGAGTAAGTGAGTAAGTATCCCCAAGCCCTGATGCTGCCCTTTTGTCTGAGCCAGGACTCCCCAGCTGCCAGCCTACACACCAGGGTGGGGACTATCATGAGGGCCAGTGTTCTGAAACAGATCAGAACTAGATAGGGCAAGGGTAGAGCTGGATAGGGCAAGGTAGGGTAAAGAAGCCTAACAGCCCTTCCTAGCTTCATTTGTTCTCATGTGGCCTGGAGCTTATCCAGGACGAGATGTGATGCTGGAGCCCTGTGGTACTAGACCTGAGCTCCTGGGAAAGGGCCAGAGAACTAGGAGGACTGCCATGCCCGACCGTAATAGTCACTGGGTCCAGCTTGCAAGTGCTGAGAAGGGGTCCCTGGCTCTTGTCTGAGGAACATTTCCCATAGGGCCTTTGAAGAGGAGCAGAAGCTCCGGAAGCAAGAGATCATAAGTCGGATTTTAAAAGAGGAAGCTGAGGAAGAAAATCGGAAGAAGAGACAGCATCATCCCTCTAAAAGCGCAGACCAGTGGACTCTGAGAGACAAGACCTGGAGCTACATCTCTGACTTCTGTGAAGGGAAGACGGCCCCCTCCATGACTACCAATTACCTACTGGTGAGCAGGACAGTGCCATTTTCAGGTTGAGGCCATATATTTGAGGGTACAGGTAGGAAGGGCCAAGGGCTCAGGTGTGAGGAGGAGGCTGACTGAGGTCCCCATTGCCATGGCCCTGTGCCAACTACCAGGGCCCTTTTCACTCTCACATAAGTTCCTCACAGTAACCAAAGTTGCCTCTCTATGAGACAGGGACAAGCCTCTCACCTGACCCAGAATGGGCCCCGTGTAGACAGACCTGTGTGGCTAGTGTCTACACAGTGTTATCACCCACTGCCAGGTATTCCCAGTGTCTCCCTGGAGACTATAGTGTTGCTTTCATTCACACCAAGGGCCTGCTCCAAGCCAATGGCCTGTGGAAACTCACCCTCGTCTGGGGAGACTTGTTTCTAACTTACCTCACCCTGAGGATGTAGGGCAGAAGGACATTGGCTTCTCCTTAACCCAGCACATCAGTCGCTTTCTCAGGCTGTCTGTGCTTTGGCCTCGGGAGCACCTTCCTGTGTGTTTCAGTGTACCATCGTCTTTTTCCTGCTTCTCATCTCTCCTGTGCCAGGTGGAACCTCTGCTCCTCAGCTGCTCCTTGCCTTGGGGCACATCAGGTCTTTTTCACTTGTCCTCCCCTGGTGACACACTCTAAACACTCCTTGCAATCTCCCTCCTGAGAGATCTTCCCTCCACCTAAGTTCCAAATGTTTCCCAAACATTGCTGTACCACAGACTCAGTCTGTTACACTGGGAGCAGATCTTAGGGTTTGTAGCAATCGTCCTCTGTCCCCCAAGAGGAAGGCCACTGGCTCCCCATGATGTACACTACAGATAAAGCACAGAGCCAGAGCAGCCAGATGAGTCACGATTCCCAAAACAGTTCCAAGAAGACCGTCACAGCCATTCTCCCCATTTGCACGGGACTTTTATATTATGAACGTGAACACGCTGAAGGAATGCTAGAGATCACAGTGGGAAGGTTACAAGGCTGTACACAAGCACCATTGTCTCTTCAAAGAACAAAAGACCTGGAAGAGCATTGTAGGTCAAGCGCCCAGGGGGCTCCAAAGGGTTTTTCTTCTTTCTGCTCATCTGTGCGTTCTGCATTGCATTGCTGTCCTGCCAGCAGGAGAGTGAGGTGGCAGTACATTCCAACCCTTCCTGTCTGCTGAAAGCCGTATCCAGTGAGTCCATGCAGGTGGACCTGGGAGCCATTAATGCAGAGGAGGACATACTGGCTGAGCCAGAGATCCCAGGGCTTTGGAGCGAAGAGTACAAGCCATACCAGGTAACAGTTTTCTTCTGTCAGGGTCACACCAGAGGTTCCAAGGCCTCTCCTTGCTATGACTGCCCACCTCCTGCCCCTCCTGTGCTTGCTGCTGCCTCCTCCAAACCCTGAGTCTTTCTCCCCTCCTCACAATTTCCAAGCAAACTGATTTGTGCATAACAACCCCAAACCCCCTGCTTCCTAGCCTCCTATCACTGGAGCCTTAAGGATCAGCCACGTACTGATGCACATAGCTGTGAGGAACAGCAGGGCTGGAAGGTTGCAAGAATGATCTTGCATCACTCTGCTGATCGTCAGGAACACTTGCTTCTTTTTAAAATATTTTATTTATATTTTTCTTTTATTTATATGAGTGAATATGTATATTATCTACATGCATGTAAGTGTACCCATGTCATGCAATGCCCACGGAAATCAGAAGACAGCATCGGATCCCCTGGAACTGGAGTTATAGATGGTTTTTAGCTGTCATATGGGGGCTGGGAACCAAACCTGGGTCCTCTGCAAGAGCAGCCCATGCTCTTAACTGCTGAGCCATCTTGCCAGCCCCAAGAACACTTATTTCTATAAAAAAAGTCATGAGTTCAAACTTCCTTTGACAGTCTTTTTCAAGAAACATGCCCCATCCAGAGTGCTGGTTCTCTGGGTTACTGAAGTGATAGCCACGGCATGCAAAAGACACAGGCCTGTAGCTCTGTCCCCCCAGCTAGCTCCTCTCAGCTTCCGTCAACATTGACTACCATCACTACCAAGACAAAGCCATTTGGCTCTGCTGCTTCTAAAGAAGCAGTAAAGAAGACAGACTGAGGCAGTCATTCCACCTTAAGCCCAGCAGAGAGGTTGTGGGCACAGGGAGGCACCAGGTACTTTTCACCTTGGAGAGTTAGGGAGGAGGCCATGGGTGGCCAAGGTCCCAAGCAGATTTCACATAATATCAAAAGGAAAATCCCAGACCCATTTGGATTACAACTTCTCCAGTTGCTAACAGTAATGAGATGCCTGATTTGTACCAAAACTGCCACTCAAGAAAATTATGTCCTGCAGAATTCTTCAGAAACCTTCTTTTGCCCTGACTCACCAACCTAGAACAGTCCCTTTTGGTGTTGCTTTCCTGAAATCTGCTTGAGTCCGGCATGCTTCCGCCTTTCTTCATTCTTTCTCTCT